CGATTACGTGCGACGCGTTACGAAGAGATCGTGCACGTGTTCGCATTCCTCGATTATTAGAGACTTGAATTGTATTTTATTTTACAACTTTAGACACGTACGATAGGAAAAAGAGGAGAAAATAAAAAGATAAAAAGAAAAAAAGAAAAAAGAAAAAAGAAAAAGGGAAAAAAAGAAGAAAGAAAGAAATTCTTCGGAAGAAATTTTCTAATTCGTGCACAATGTAAATTACATATAATGCGCTTACAAATGACAATTATTTTAGAGTTTAAAGTAATATTACTCGAATGATAATTAATTTCCTTTTCCGCCAAAAAAAAAAAAAGAAAAAAGTTCAAATTTAACTACTTCGAATAGTTACTATTACGAGTAGCAGGAGGATACAGGAGGAATGTCATCGTCGGTGTCAATGGGTTAGAGATAGTAGAAGAAGGTGGTACTTATCGAAGGTTGTTTAGGATGGTTAAAGGGGAGATTGCTCTGCCGGCGTATGTATGTACGTTCATAAGTGCTTAAAGCATTAAGCTCGTAACGTAGCGTTATTACTGGAAATGAGAAAGGAGTGTAAAAAATGCGTTTACCTCGGCAGCATTCTGCAGGCCAAGAGCTATGTTGCTACTGCTTTTTCCCATTTCTCGAGGCAGTTTTAAGCGGAATAGCGGGAGGAAAAACATCGCTTCGTTTAGTGATGGCCGCTCGATCGTTGATGAACGAAAAAAACGGATGAAGAGAAAAAGAAAGAGAGAGAGAGAGAGAGAGAGAGAGAGAGAGAGAGAGGGAGAGGGAGGGTGAGAGAAAATAGAATAAAGCTAATCGTGCAATTTTATATTTTTATAATATCCCCTTCCCCACCATTTAAAAACAAATGGATATGCGATTGTTCCGGATGTTCGCGCTCGACAACCATTATCGTTATCGTCCTATCGATTCTAACGATTTCTGCTTACCTGCACCTGGTCCCATCTACCCCTATATCGAATCCGTTGTTACGCGCAAGAAACTATGCTCCCTTCTATCTCTCTCTCTCTCTCTCTCTCTCTCTCTCTTTCTCTCTCTCTCTCTCTCTCTCTCTGTTTCTCCCTTTCTCTAGGTCTCCTTTGTCACAGCGATATAGGTCGTCGATACGGCTTAACGATGGGCATCGCTTTGATTGGAGCTACGGTCCACAGCAAGGAACCAAAGGCGCTCCGTAACCGTTGTAGATACCAAAGGGTATTACATTGGGCTTAGTACGGGATGACACTAAGTTAAGGATAGTAGTAAAAGATAGGATAGAGAGAGAGAGAGAGAGAGAGAACGAGTGGGATTAGAGAATCGCTAGAGAATCGCTAGAGAAAGAGGGAGAGAGAGAGAGAGAGCATCGTCAAATAGAAGGACAAGGCAAAAGCGAGTTGGTGAAGATGAGGTAGAAGAGGATGAGGAAGCCGAGGAAAAGGTGCGGGTTAGATGAGAATCACTCCTATTGCCATCAAAGACGTTCGTGCTACGAATTCTGCGAAAGATAGATTCCCCCGACGATATACATCAGCATCGCGATCTCTCTTCCTTTTTTTTCCTCTCGTCCTTTTTCTCTCTTTTTCATCTTCTTTTCTTTTCTATTTTCTTTTTTTTTCTCACTACCTCCTTCCTTTTCTGTTTTTTCCTGCCGTTTTTTCTTCCCTCGTAACTCCACGCTCCGCTACACGATCCTCTGATCTTTATCGCTTTATACGTGTGTACGAAGAATACCGTCGCATATTTTCCCTCCTCCTTTTACTACATTCTTCTTGATCTCTTTCTCTCTCTTTCTCTCTCTCTTTTCTCTCCTTTTTTTTTCTTTCTTTTTTACATTTTTCTCAAAGTTCATCTTTCCTATGATATTCGGGGCGAGACGAAAGCGGGTAAAGCCTTCGATGAAAGTTTCTGTTCTGAAACGGTCGAACATGAGTTGGCTTCGATTTGAATTCAGAGTGCGGATGGATTTCATTGCAAGGACTCGGAATCTAGAATTGTCTTCTTCGAGACGAAAATTCACGATCGTTACTGACATTCAAAGGGATCAAATCAACGGGAACGATAGAATCGGTAATTTCGTGGATTTTAAGGAAATCATCTTTCGATGAAGATATACGTTGTTACGTTATATAAATTTTTGTTTATTTAACTTAGACGTTTTATTTATTTATTTTTTCTTTTTTCCTTTTTTTATTTTTTTAAATAACGTAATAAATGAAGAGCGTGAAAAAGAAAAAGTGAAAAAGAACGAACGAATGGAAAAAACAAATGTCCTTTTATGCGTTTAACTTTTACGAAAGTTCGTACGCCGTCGATGTGCGCCCATTCTCGCGAGATACTATTTTGCCACTCTCAAAGTGTTACTGAAATTCACCCAAGAGGATTAGGGACGAACTTGAGTTTCCTGGTCTTCTCTTCCTTGCGTATTACTACAGTTTCCAACGCGAGCTCTCGTATATTTTAACTTCGATGGGAGAGGGGGAGGACAATTCTGCTAATGCGTACGAAACAAAAAGTTGTTAATTCAGTGAGTAAAAGACACCGTTTTGACGTCGATGATTAGCAATACTGCTTCGTTAACTTTCTATTATTTTGTTAATAACGCTGGCTGATGCGAATACGTTCGCGTTCGCATAATAATAATAGTAAGTAATGAAGGTCGCATTGGAACGATCTATCACGTTGTTGATATCCAACGCGATGATAATTTTCGATTCTTCTCCTCTATGTATACATATACATGTGTATCTCTTATCTATGTAGAACAAATGTGCTATAAGTTATATTTTTACCTACATCCTTGAACTCTCAATCGGTACTCACTTTCCCTTTCTGTCACATCGATCTACCCAGGTACAGATCGCAATCTGTTGACATCCATTGATCATGACATGAATAATGAATGGATACATCGCTTGAATAATGCATGCATCAACGTCGAACAACATCTACTCGATGGCTCTGTATAATCGAGCCGGAATATCACGTAGAACATTGATGAAGGTTGACTGTTCACTAGCGGGCGATACCGTGGTATCGTTATCGTGTTATACTCATGCTTTTCTTTTACGATTTTCTCTCTCTCTCTCTTTCTCTCTTTCTCCCTCTCTCTCTCTCTCTCTCTCTCTCTCTCTCTCTCTCTTTCATCTTTGTTCTTCGAGATGCATCGCATCGATCCACTTGAATTTACGCGCTCCATCGTGTTAATGGAAAGGACGAAGCAATATTACCTATTTTTTCCATGCATGCTACTTTGAGCATATATTTTATTTATCCCACCAGTGTGATTTCCCTTTTGTACGGAAGCACGAAGTCGTACGTACAACAGAAATCAATCGTAGTTCGATAAAGTCTAACGAAAAGTGATTACAATTCGATGAATTTTTTGTTAAGTTGGCATAAAATCCTGTTGTTTGAAAGTATAAAGAATTAACAAAGTCATTTAGTAGAATTTATGAAAGATGTAGAAGATTTTTACGTAATAGTTTTTATTTTTTTTTTTTTTTTTTATAAGTATACCTACTTTGACGTATTATAGACAAACAGAGAGAAATATAAAATTTTTATGATCAAACCAAGAAATATATCGCATTTTGATTTCTGAGATTCTCTGATAATTTGTACAAGTATAGAATTATCTTTCTTTCTTTTCGTACGAGTTTAAATTGTATTAATTATTCGAATTAAAAGGTACAGATTTATCCGCGTTAAAGGCGAAGCAAGAAATCAATGTCTCGACGATTTTACAGGCGGCGATCGCAAATTGTTCGCACGGAGTTTCTTTCGAGAGAAGAAAGAAGAAAACTCGGAGAAATCCGTTTCGGTGATTACAAGGAAGCTTCTCCGTGGAATACGAAAAAAGAGTTTCAGTTCGTCGAGCGTCGTGTTAGCGCGTTGGTGCGTCTTCGGTGGTGGGGTAATTGCGGTGTTCCTAAGTCGAAGAGAATTGGGATGAAGGGAAGAAGGGTGAGATCTCGTGAAGATAGAGGAAGAAGGAAAAAAGGGAGAAGAAAAGAGGAGATCAGGGTGGGAAAGAAATAGAACGGGGCTAAAAAAGAGGAGGAAGACAGTGGTCTTAGTTGTGTTAGGTAGTTACGCCGCTCATCGGTACAATAATTAGTTTTCCTCGTGAAGTCTCTCGGTCGACCAAGCGCGATAGGTAGCTTTAAGAGTAGGGAAGAAGAGATGAGAAAGAAGGATAAAACAGAGAGGGTGAGTAGTAGGAAGGAAATGCCGAGAGTGGCATGCCGGATAGGAGAGAAGCGTCGTCTCGCCGTTCTTGTCGTAGCTTTATCGAATTCCCCGGGCTCCTGCTAACTCGATCAAGTCCCAGTCTTTAGAATATTTACCGGTGGATGCCAGGAAAGAGAAGAGAGAGAAAGAGAGAGAAAGAGAGAGAGAGAGAGAGTGACAGAGAGGGATAGGGAGTTGCCTGAGACGACGTTCGCGGTCTAATTTAGTTCGCCGGTACGTCCTGAAAAGCGGTAACACGATGGACCGCACAATAGACGAACCGAAAGGAAAAAGGAGTACGATTAAACGTGGTGTTATCAGGAATTATAATGAAGCTCTTCATGCTTTCATCGCCGTGTTTTTCATATCTCATTCACCATTCCTTTAATCAATGATATTATAAATTTGTATATCACTTTACAAATATTCCATAATGATTTTTCTACGAATTGCCTTGCAACATTACATTTGTTATTGATATGATAATTATTAACATTTGGATAATTTCTATGTTTGAATTACAATTTTACATATATCCTCGAAGTAAACCAAACATAATTGATAATATAAACGAAAGTTATTGTTTTAATTGTCAGATGAGTTAGTTATATACGAATCATCATACAGAATACAACTCATCCGTGTAATTTTCTCGTTAATTATATCGACAAATTATTTTCAACGTTTATTATTATTACTACAGCGACATTGTATACATGTATGTTAATGTTTTTTCTTTTTTTTTCTTTTTTTTTTTTCTTTTTTCTTTGTAGGTTCCGGAAACGGAGCGATCGTTTTGGCGCTTCGTGGTGGAAGACAAGAGAGTGGTCGAAGAGCACGAAGAACGACAACGTCGACAACGACGACGACGACAAGTACAACGAAGAGCACAACGACATCGTCGTCGTCGACATTGATATCCTTCGGCGAGGACGTCGCTCAGCCTGCAGCACTTTTAGCTCCCGAAGAAGAGACATGGTCCGTTAGTTCCTCGACAACGAGCAATCTTCCGTTTTCCTTTCCTTCGAGCGGTGTGTCCACGTCATACGCGAGACCCGTCTCTACGAAACCGCATTTAGAGCTCGTCGTAAAACCACATAGCAAGGTTATTTTGCCTTGCGAACTCGAAGGGAATTATTCTAGGCTGCTTTTATCAGGATCAAGGTACGTATTTTTACGTTTTCATTTTCTTCGAAGATTCTATACAATTTCTATACAATTCCGTTCGATTGAATGTATAATGTGGAATATCTTTAGTCCTTTCACATAACTTAGAATATATACAATAATTTTGTCGAGTTACAAGAAAAATTGTTTTTTCTTATATTTTCTAGAATATCATTGAATTCCATTTATTTTTAATAGAGTATAGATTTTATGATTTCTTTTCTTTTTTTTCCTTTATTTCCGTAAAAGAGACGAATTTTCGTCTATCGAAACAAACAATTCGTACCTACATACATACATACATATATATATATATATATATATATATATATATATATATATACTGCGTCGACAGGTAACAATAGTTGCGAATTACATGAGTCGTTAACGTGTCAGACGTAGGATATATGAATGACGCGAGGAGAACCATACGTTTAATAGATTCCATTTGAATAACTTGATATTGACGATAAATCCGAGGAAGAGAAAACGGATGAGGATCGTAGATTAGAGAGTTGGATGATATACTCGGAAGACGTAGACGATTCAAGTGTGTCCTGTTCGTCGTGAAATATCACGTTTTGCACGCATGCGACACGGTGACAGGGAAATATAAGTGTTCTTCGTTCGTTAGAAGTTACAGAATACATGGAAATCCGGCTGTATGGTTGCACGAAGGAAATCCGGTGGACATGCTCACGATAAACACGAGAACGGAAATGAGCGGAACTGGTCACAGATACATCGGTGATTCTACTACAGCAGCTTTGCATATAGATAATGTCAGATTGGAGGATGACGGTATGTGGGAGTGCACCTTGGAACACGATCAAGAAGAATTCCTTTTGGGGAGACCGATCAAGCTTGTTGTTCTCGGTAAGTTTTATTCCGATAGAACTCATTTTCTCTTATCTTCACGCTTCTACAATTATTTATCGTTGATTTATATGGAAAAATGAACGGGTACATTGATAAAATAGATCAATGTTCGAATTTATGGTATAAAGCGTTCGTATAGTTTGTTAATTCATGAGAAAACAAAAAAATGCCAGACGTAACAAATTATTATATCTTCGATAAATAGGAAAAATTTATTTTTAAAATTTATCGAATTTTTCGACATAATTGAGATATTGACGTAATAGATCTTTTATTATATCGATATTATTGAAATATGTAGATAAAAAGAAAATATTTTTTCCATTAAAATGTTCTTTGTTTCAAGTCTTTACGATTTCCCATTCCGAAGATATTTCTTTTAAAAGTTTACCATTCATTATTCATGTACATCTGTTCGTAGTAATCAGTAGTAGTAAGAGCTTGTTTACGTTAACTATCGCGTTAAGCTGATCGCATAAATTCCAAGAATTTATATAGGTCATTATATCAATGGATCTATATATTGAATGAAATTACATAGATCAATGAATCAATCCAAATATATTTTATTTACACGTAAATATCTCTAAAATTAAAAATCGTAATCGTAAAATTAAAATTCATAGGAAGACCATTTTAAAGATAAAACTGTCATCTAAATTTCTATCTATCATTAATAATTATTTAACAATTTGTTATGAACAATTTGTTGTACAAAATTTTTCTTTTTTTATTTTTCTCTCTTAGACCTTTCTCTTTTTCGTCGTTATCATATCAAATTTAAAGATTAATTGATCGTTATGAACCATTTGTTATAAACAATTTTTGACGAATAATTTTATTTTTTTATCCTATTTTCTATACTTCTCTCTCTCTCTCTCTCTCTCTCTCTTCTCATTATTATATCAAATACAATGATTTAATAATTGTTATAAATAATTTTCGTAAAATAATAATTTTTTGATATTACTATGCCAGTAATGCAAATCACATATATAGATATGGATAGATGGTAGAACGATCATTTGATATCATAACGATTATAAATAAATAAGTAAAATTAGAAACTGGGAAGAAACGTTCTTATAATTTTTATATATTTCACACAATATAAACGTTACTATGAATTCAGAAATGACTGAAACGATGAACGAGAAGAGTATCTCGAAAACATTGGAAAGCCGCAGTAATATCGTAGTTTTATGCATAATCTTGCGTCACGTGGATGGCACCAGCTAGAGAAAGAGAGAGAAAGAGATAGAGAGAGATGAGGAGATGGAGAGATAGAGAATATCGTGACGTTTCCATGAATATGCAACTGGCGGGTGGAATTTTTTTTTAGGCAGTCGTGTGTCAGCTCGCTGCGGTTTGTCCTCATTGCGTTCGTCTCCGCGCGTCCAAACGTATATACGGTGAAACAATGGCACCGCGAAGCGAAACAATCGCATGTTCGTTCCCTCCTCGACGTGTGACGTACTTCAGCCCTCTCGGTATAGGTCAATGCCCCAACCAAACGAAACTTCTTTGTCCTTTTCTTGTTCGGGTATGTTCATGCACGTTATTTCAACCGAGAGTCACGTATTTTTTATCTTTTGTTTTGTTTTGTCTTTTTTTTCTTTTTTTTTTTTTTTAACTATCTTTTTAGTATTTTATTATTTCATGAAAGGAAAAAGAAATGAATACAATTATAGCTTCGCTACTATTGTTTTCTTTTTTGCCCTTTTCTTTTGTTTCTCGTTTCTTCTTTTTGTCTTTCTTTCTTTTATTTTGTTTTGTTTTTTGTTTTAACCACTAATATAATCCTCACTATTCCAATGACAACGAATCGAAACGTTTCTTCGTTCGAATTTCACATGAGCTCGTCCTTTCTTGCCTCATGGAAAGAAAGAAAAACGTTCGGTTTCTTATCCGTACAAAAGAAAAGAACGTTCGCACTGCGTCCGATGGGAATAGATTTGCTAGACGCCCTCAAGCGGTGCCCTTTTCTTAGAACACTTCCTTGTCGTATCGGCGTACGAGAAAAACTTAAGAGTAATGTGCGTTTTATGTAGGCCCACCGAGGCTCGGAAGGGTCGTATTTCATTTGACGAATAGACAGAACCGACACGGAGAAAGCTCGCTTGCTCGCATATATTCGCTTGTATGCTTCCACGACGAAATTCGTCTTCCTCTCAGCATGTTTGATGGTTCTCGTCTCTCTTTCTCGGCACCTTTCGATTAAGTCGAGATTGTGAGAAAAAAAAAAAAATCTGTGTAACCACTATCCACCTTTTTTCTCTCCTCAGTTTTTATTTTTTTCCCTCGTCTGCTGTTATCCATGCTGCTACTACTACTTCTGATATTCTGCTGCTGCTGCTGCTGTTGTTGCTGCTGTTGCTGCTGCTGTTGATGCTCGAGAGCTTTTTTCCTTCCATGTACGCACGCAATTCTTCCCTCACTTCTCTTGCTAAATTGAATTTACCGCTTCTTCGTTCGTGAGGAGCTCGGTCGAAAGGCCACGCGTATTCTCTCTTTCTTTCTCTCTCTCTCTTTCTTTCTCTCTCTTTCGTATTGGAGAATCGTCTGACCCTGACAGGGGCCAGACTACTGGCAGTTGCCTTTTTCCAATCGCTACCTTACGATATCTCTTTCTCTTTCTCCCTCTTTACTTTCCTTTTAACGTTACCTGGCTCTTCCCTTTGTCTCCTCCTCCGTCCCTCTTTCTCCCTCTCTCGTTCTTTCTCTCTTTCTCTCTCTCTCTTTCTCTCTCTCTCTCTCTTTCTCTTTTCCTATGTATCTATCTTTTTATCTCTCCTTCAGCCGTTCAACTCACCGGACTAAAGTTCGAGCGAGTCCGTATAAAGGTACGATGAGAAATCGTGCTGCCTGACGCGAACAGGAGGCATTCCACTGTCTGATCAATATCGAACTTTCCCCTTTGCCATGCCAGACGTCGGTCGGTGCTTCTCTACTATCTCGCTGCTACTATTACTACTACCATACTACTACTACTTCTATCGCTACTATTACTATCACTACTACTACTACTACTACTACTACTATTACTACTACTACTACTACTATTACTACTACTATCACTAATACCATTACCATCACTACTATTATCATGAGTATTCGATAACGAAACTCCTCTATTCTAGCTAGCGTATAGATCTTCCTAGATTTCTAATTTTGTTCCCCTTATCATCTACTTTGGCAAATCCCTATTTGTTTCCTTCTTCGATTATGTGAATTCTTTTGCACCGAGATTATCATTATCATTCTATTTACGATAGAATATATATGTATAAACGAAAGAACACGTTTAATAAATATTTCGTAACCAATAATGTTAATTGCTTAATTTTTTTTTTTGTGGACACCAATTTTTATCAATTTGTTCATATCACTTATTTTATAACTCATTATAATTTTGAAGTCATTTTTATGACAGAGAATGTTGATAATAACTGAAGAACGTGGAAGAGTAAATTTGTCTTGCCTAAGGAGATGAAATGAGTGGACATTTTTTTGAAATTTTTTTTTTCTTTTTTTTTTTTTTTTTGTTTTTTTTTTATGTCGTTTGTTTCCGTAAAAGGGAAGAGCATTGTGAGGAGACAGCAGTTAGTCATTGTTTCTGCCTCTGTCGCAATTTAACAGCGGAAAAGGTAGGGACGCTCACGTTCGAGTACAGAGAAAAAGCAAGCAAAGCGCAGTACTACCACGGGTAACGTTTACATGGAGTGTTTATAACAGTCCAGCGAGCATAACACCAGAGCATGTTAGCACGCGGAATGTTTCCTGTAATTTGTGTTCCGACTAAATTTCGAAAATGTTACGACCCATTGCACGATTTCGTCGATTGTCCTCGACGTTACTCGAATGGTTTCGAATCGATGGAATTTTTTGTTGGCTCGATAAACGTTGAAAATTTTTTACGCTTCATTCGTTTATTTATTATATTTATTTTTATTTATATATTTATTTGTTAGCGGGAACATCGTATGTATGTTCCTTAACAATATATGTTGAGAATATAATCGAGATAATTAAGTTGTTGATTTTTTTCTTGTTTTCTTTCTTTTATTATTATTTTTTTTTTTTTTTTTTTTTTTTTTTTTTTAATAAAAGTGGTTCGTTCAGATAGAAATTTATTTTAGATTAGTATATTTAATTTATTTTAGATAGTATGAAAGAATGAAAGGAGAATATAATTGAGTTTAGAACGAATATCAATTAACATTTATCTTGTTTTTATGGATATTGCTTTGGAAATTCCTTTTCCAGATTCTATAGGTGATTAATTGAAAGTTCACCGATTTCTCGGTACTGGAGAAACGTTGATGTGATCTTCACGCGTATTAATTCAAATCGATCCTTTCGAAAATCGTATTAACGATTGAACAAGGATATTAATCCATCGTACATTTGGTAGGCGTATCTCCCGATAGCGAATCGCACAGTCGTCGTTCTGGGCTAGTGCGACACGGGGCATTAGTGCAGGTGGTGTAAATTAGCGCATCAAAGCCGGGTCACCATACCGGCACCCTCGGCTGGTAATTATTGACGAGCTCCAACCGTTGCCCGCTAACTACCCATTCATTAGCCGAAGGTTTCCACATAATTAATGGAAGAGTCATCGACAACGGCGATTCGTTAGCCGATCGTGAACTCGTTATTAAGATACTTTTCGAATTTATTTATGATTTTTATATTTATTAATTCGTTTAATATAATTGTAAGAATAAATTTAAAAATGTTTAATGTCACGATATTGATAAAATATAACATTAAGATATTTTCGATATCTCGCCAATAATATTCACGTTCCATCTTTCTTATAATAGATGATACTGTAATTATATCGATAAATTATAGAAATTCCGAAAATATCATTCTCTGTATTTCACGAATGTTTCTACGTGAAAGTTACAATTTCTCTAAATTATATATATCTCGATGGGTTTCGATTGAATTTATTCATATATTCCAATTAATGATACCGATCGACGAAATAT